GATGTATTATATTAACCCCTTAAATCCCAGTTTTGTTACATACTAAGGCTTATTATTCAACGCAAACTGGCTGAGCTATTCTTAGGTTATAGAAGCGTGTAATAAAACGTTGGGTTTGCCGGGAAGCCCTGGCCATGTAAGGAGTTAATAGACAGGGTTGGGATGTAACTGAATACAAGGATTCGGGATACGTGTTCAGAAAAACAGAAATTATATAAGTATCTGTAGTCAGTCCAAGTTACATTTTGTAAAGGCAGTATTCAGAAAATAATTTGCTGCTGTCAGAACAAAACCTCATATTTCCATTTTTCAGTTTTTGATATAGTTTGAAAATGTCTGTTGCCCCTTACACCGTGTGTAAATTTCACAGTGAATGGATCAAAGGAAATGGCCCAAAATGATATGGAAAAAAATCTGGTTCCATTGACTTTTAAAGTTATCATTTTGAAGTTAGGAGGTTTTGTTCCGACAGCAGAATTACTTCATACATTATACACCCACTATTTTTAAAAAACGTATATCAGCCTCAAAAAAAGCAGTGCTTTTTATTTATTAATTTAAAATCAGTGCATGGTGTGTAAATATGTACTCTAAAGAAAAAACTGTTTCTTTCAAAACACTGTGATTCTTACTAAAGAATAGACTGTTAAATAAATGCAGTACTCGTGTATTAATTGTTACTGAGCTCTTTTAGCATCAGTGTTGTACTGGACTTAGTGTTGTGTATGCATTTTGTAGCAAGTTACATACATCATTAACTGAAATTGACACAGCTGGTGAAAGTTGCAAGATTTTGTTATTGGGATAAACTGAACTGTTTGCTTTGTTCATGAGATGATAGTGGGATTATAGGAGCAGCAGTGGGTTGAAGCAGGCAATGAGACCCAAGATAATGTTGAGAGGTTTAGAACCTCATTTAAATAAGTGAATTTTTAGTAATAAAAGAATTCCATGAAGAGAACTGCCAGCCAGTAACAGTGAGAAACAATGTGAATTAAGTTTAAAAAAATGTTTTTCTTATCTGCCTTACCAAGATGTATTGTAAATGTATTCTAAATGTATTATGAATGTTATTTTTTATGCGTTGTAATGGAATACATTACTGAGTATATTTCAGTAATGTATTCAGTGTATTCACTATTCAGCTATCACTGCTTTTCACTACAGTATTCCGTCCAGCCCTGTTATTAGATATTACATTGAGAATTTGACTGGACAAACTTGCTTTAAGCCCAGATTTGCAATTATCTCTAGAAATCCACCAGTGTAGTTCTGTAAATGGTGTCTGTGAAACCAGCTGTTCATAATTTAATTTTACATGAAACTATAAACTACATTTAATTAACGTGCAAAAGATTCAGGCCTAAAAATGAAGGTGACAGTGTTAGAGCACCACACCAAAAAAAATACAATTTGTGAGAAAACATAGAAGATTCCAAGTCTGAACCCTGGTAAGGTATACTGTCTCAAAACCTTAAAGGGGCATTCCACCATTTTTTCACATTTTTAACATAATTCCATGGTTATAATGTGAACAAAGTCATTGTGAGTGTTTTCATGTTAAATGGTTCATTGTAGATAAACTTACCAACTCATATTTCTTTACAGTGGTGGTGATAGGAATCAGGGTCACAATGTCTACAACACAAACAGAGACATTTTTTCATTATCCAAAACCACCAGTGAACCTACACATGTCGGGTTTTAAAATGAAATATTGACAATGGTAAAATAGTGGTAAATCTAAAAAAAAAAGCTTTCTTTAGGAACTATTGGACCTCACTACACCCTGCATCCACCTCGCCAAGATGAATGGATAAAAAAAAATACACGTTTTAGGCCAAAACCTTCTTAATGCAATGTGCGAGGTATGAAATGATATTTGTAACCAATTCATGTTATAACTTTTGTGATGTTGTGTTTAGAGGCTACATCTGGTTTCTATAATCACCACTGTGAAGAATTCTGACTGGCATTTCACACCAAACCACTCTCAATGACTTTGTTTACATCTTAATTGTTTAATTACACAGAAAATTTCATTGAAATTCTCCTTTTAACAAGCTCATCTATTCTCACCATGATTACTGATCTAATATTTTGCTAAAGACCGTTCTCTTCGTGTGCTTCTGCTGTGCCTTTTATACCTAGTAAGGCCAAAGTATCATGCGTCAGACTTTTTCCTGATTTCAACATCTGAAAGCGTGTGCTTGACTCAGAACTAAATTTACTCCAGACTCAGTCAAAACTAAATTTGATCACAGAAGTAAAGCGTGTAAGCACAATGAATGGCTCACTTTACAATCACAGCACAATCAGTGAATTCAGACACTGTTCTCTAGAGCTCGAATATAGATTACACTGATTGCTCACTCAGTGAGGGAACTCTGATGAATGAGAACCTCATTGTACTTCTGTATTGCATTGACTTTGATGTCAAAAAAGGAGATAGTGAGACTGGAATACAAAGGGTGGAGCCAGTCTGTAATGACTTGAGATGTTCCACCTTCCAGATAATGTAAGCTTTTTATGATTATTTTCAAGTGTCAGTAAATAGTAATCCATTTTGAATAAACTCAGGCTGCAAATAAAGAGGCCTAAAACTAGAATTTAAAATACAGTTTGTTGTCTTGTGCAGTATTCTGTAGCACAGCATTAGATCCCTTAGTGTCATGTTTTCATTCATCAATGTGCTGCAAGTGAAATAATCTTAAATCTAGTCAATATATCTAATATTTCTAATTTTGAGATGGTTGTAGGAATATTATAAGATTATTAAACTTCCTTTCAGACATTTTTACTTGTTTTGAGTAATTTTAGTAAGTAAAATTATCTCACTATATTGGCAAGCAAAACAAGCAAACAAACAAAATTATCTGTCTATATAGTGAGATAATTTTGCTTAATAAAAATACTTAAAACAAGAAAATAAATGGAGAAATAACTAATTCTAATTCCTACAACCATCTTAAAATGAAAAATATTAGATATTTAGACTACATATAAGATGATTTCACTTGCTAAGATACCATTTTTTGGAGTGTGTTCTCTCACTACAATACCCAGCATGCATTTCTTTAGCACAAACCCTGACTACTAGCATAGCCACTGATCCATAGGCTAAAAGATACAACCAGGCTAGCATTAATGTAACTCCTACCTCAGTTGTCAAACAAAATCGTGAAGAAAGTTTTCATCATTCTATCTTTATTCGGCACAAATTGGACACCAGAGACCCTTTCGGAAGAGAAATGAAGCTGAACTGAGGAGAGGTATCTAGATAGCCAGGTAGCTTATATTGCCAACTTTAGCCTTTAGGTTGTTGCCCATCTCATCTATCTGACGAATCACTTCTGCTGTTTCAGTTTTCCTTTCTCTCCATTAAAATGAATTGAAGACCATTACCACATTTATACAGCCGTAATTGGATATTCGGGTTACTAGAAGTAATGCTAGCTTCCTGCTGCTTTCACCAGCTAATGAAAAATACAGTCCGCTCCCAAAAATCAATTTTTTCATTTTGGCTGGAGTTTCCCTTAACATGTGAAAAGGACTTAGTGAATATACTTTTTCATAAAAGTTGTATTATTGAAATCCAGCTCAATTACATTTGCAAGTGACAAAACATACTTTTTTTTTACTTTATACGTTTAAATGACTCATTTCAAATCTCAAAGGTCATGAAAATGTTTTTTTTTTTCTTTTTTCAGCACAATTCTTTTATTTTTATTTTATTTTATTTTTTATTTATTTAAATTATTTTTTAAATAATTAAAACATCCAGTGAAATTCATGTCACTGTAAAATAAAACTGCCCACAATTATGCCAATTCACATGGCAGGGCCTTTTATTTTTGCAAAAAATCACATGTGATTTTCTTACCGGTCTTACCGGTTAGCTTTCTTCACTCTGAGTGATAAACTTGCCACCATAGTAACTATGTTGTGTATTCAGAGTAAGGGTGCACCCAGAGGACACACTTAATCTCGCCGTTATTGCAACACGCTGTTTTAAAGAGAGCTACAGGAAAACTCAAAGTGACCAGTGGAGGGCGATACTGGGAAACCCATCCTACCGGTATTAGCGGAGAACTTGTAGAGAGGAGAATTACCCCTCTGTAATATCTGCCGGGTTTCTGAAACGCTAGAGGGCGCTCCCGAGCGAGTCCAAAATGAATGGGTTAATATAGAGCATTTGAGCAAAATCATAGTTTATAAATGCTTAAAGATTTTTAAAATAAAAGAATGCATTCATATCCTGAACACAGAACAGCATAAAACATTTTAACACTGCTGTTATATTTTTAATAGCTTTTAAACTTTATAGGAGTTTAAAACAGTGCTTCATTTACGTCCATGATGTCCGTGAGCATGAACAGCCAATGAACTGCTCTGGTCGCCAACCAATCAGCACTCAGTAGCAGTAATTCCAGCATCTTGCTGCCCAAAACCCGTTTGCTGTAGAAAAAAAGAAACATACAGCTGAGTTTCCTTTTCTGTTTTGTAGTCCTGTTTTTGATACAACGTGGGAAATAGAAAGTTTTCCTCTTAAAATGGCTCTGGTATTAGTGATAAAAAGTAAACGAAAACTAGTCTTGGACATGAATTTACACACATATCTCTCCTAAAACATTATCTTGAGCAAGTGAAGTGCTTTTGTTTATGTACAGTCAGCTTAGATTTCCGATTTTTCGTGTTGAGGTGGCCGAGAGTCTTTACGCTACATGAGCTACATCCTTTTCCACACGGAACCTCTGTGACCGTAAACAGTCACTCATTCTTGCTGCTAAATAACGTAGATTCATCACGGTCCCCACTTTGTGGGTGTAAAAAGTCTGAGGACCCCGTACAGTTTTTTTTTCTAAACACAACGCCCCCTGTCGAGCGAGGGAACACTGAAGAAGAACCTGCGTTTTCCCACCTATTCTCTGACAAACCCCGCCCCCTCGGTCGGAATAGGGTGGGAAGAGGGGGTGGATGAAAGAAGAGGGGAGGGGGGAGAAGGCACTACGAGGGCTTTGTCAGAACTGTGAGATACTGGGCCGAGGCAGAGGGGTGGCGACGGAACGACCGACAGCCAGAGTTTACGAAACAGGGGAGCGGCGGGGAAACATAACGGTAAGAGGATCCCGAAACACGAATCGCAAAGACACGGAGCCCAAATCATGGATATGACTCTTTAGTCTTGTTCTCTGGGCTTCTCCGTTGTTTTAGCGGCAGTTTGTTGGTGTGTGAGGAGTTTGTGAGTTAGAGCACGAACTCAGTCCCAGTCTCAGCAGCAGTGAGCCATCATGACGACTCCGCCGCTGCTGAGGGAAAGTTGTCTGTAGTTGAGGAGCTTTTAGCCCGTTTGTAGGAGCTCTGTGGAGAGCAGCGCTGACTCTGACTGCTCTGGTCTGGTCTTTTGCGCTGGAAATGTGGGAAATGTTTCAAACTCGACGGTTCTTAACTTGTTTTCTGGTCAGAGCTGAGTTAAAACTTCGAAACTTCTGTACTAGCACGAGCAGTTGAGCACGTTTAGTGGAGAAGGCTGACCGTCTCTTTCACTCTCACTCTGAAGACACAGTCAGAGATTGTGAGGAGAAATAGAGCTGGATGTGTCCCAATTCTGTTCCGGAGGAGTTTTCAGACTCTACACACATTCATACTCAAGTTGTTTTTGGTTACCAAACATTCCCAAAATGTATAAAGTATCAAATATTGCACATACATGTTTCACATATAATGCTTATATGTCTGATAGGTGGTTGAACAGATGCATAAAATATGGATAACATGCTTTCTGTCTGATATATATCTGATACAAGCACACAGATTTTTAAAGCAAAAAGTTCAAATGAAATACACTGATAAAAACTGTTATATAACATGCAGCTAGCATATATGAGTATGCCATCCATATAGAAATAATGCTTTCTAACATATATTGTTAAATATATGTGGAACATGTGTATCTTTATATATGTTGATATAGGAATGAAATACATGTTCCATATTTGAAAGTGGCCAATTTCAAATCACTTGGTATGTATGTCACAGATATGGCCCTGTGACTAATATAAGTTGGATTTAAGGGATCTGTCCTGTGTTTGAAATCCATACATTGCCATACATCTGATTGGGACATTGTGTTTTGAAATAACAGTTCTCTACTTTAGTTTTAGGCTTTTCTGCCCACTTTTGTTGGCAGTCCCATGTCTTGGCTAACTGTCCAATATTTCTATTGTGAAACAATAACCTGTTATTTTGACATTAGGAATTCACCGATATAAGAATTGTGAACTAAAGCTGATATCTGATATTTTTCATGCACATATCTGCTAAAAGCGGATACATAAACATTTGTAAAATGTATAACCTTCAGATCTACCTGAATCAACATTAGAGAGAAATATAACATTTATTTGTGGAGGTTTACAACTGTAGTAAAATGAATAAGATACAGACATTTTAGCATAGCAGCCCAGCGTCGCCTAAACATTCTGCTCTTCTGGAATACAATAAATGCGTTATTAAATATCGGTTTGAAATATCATCCGCTGTCAGATAATTGTTTTTTAATTCAGTTATCGACTGATACTGATATGGTTCCGATATCATAATGCGTCCCTGTTTGACACCACATCATGAATATTGAAAACAGTGGGGACCTTTAATGGTGCTTCTTGCATTGCTCTGAATGAAATCTCTGTAGGGTCCCACTACCATCCCAAACCATGGTTTGAATCAGACAAACAAACAAACTTTCTGGAAAAGTTTTACCCTTTCTTGTTATGACGCTAGGGGACATATCCAGTAAGATACAGCTGTGCTCCTTTCTGACTGATAATAGCATCCATGTTCTGGATAATCACTATGTAAGTAGATGTAATAATATAGTATGTAGCTTGTGACCTGAAAGGATGGGGTGCAGCATCTCTAGAATGACATCTCACACCAAAAAAAGATGGTTCTTCAAGGGTTCTTTAATAAAGGCAATGGCTGTATTTGGAACCATGAGCTCTATATTATTTCATGCGTAAATGGTTCTTTGCTTGGTGAAATGGTTCTTTAGATTGATGGAGAATGTGTTGTGTATATACAAGTGGCTTTTTGAAAGTGGTTCTAAAATAGCCATTTAAGCATGAAATGGTTCTGTATTGAACTTGAGGTTCCAAACAGAACCATTCCAAAGAATGCTTGAAGAACCATCTTTTTCAAGTGTGTGTAAAAGTAAAACAAGACCATATGCTGCATGTCTCATCATATGAGTCATCCATGTGTTGTCCACTGACCAAAGTTCTCCCACACCTCCCCTGCCTTTTCTCTTCAGTACTGTCGTTCACAAATAACTCTCAGATATATTCAGATTACTTCCGTAGGTCAAACAAGGCAGCGGTAGGTTGTAGTCTTAATGTGCTAAGTAGTTTCTTTGCTATTCGTGTCTGTGGTTTTTCACACTCAGGTTGTCTTCAGAGCTTCACATTGAGGTGTCAGGAAGGATGAGTAGCTCTACACTGGAAGTCTAAATAAACAAGCTGCATGTTATTAGCTTGTATTTCCTCACTCAAAGCTTAAGACTTGTTAATAATGTAGGCTATGAGTGGGCGATATGGCAAAAATACCATATCATGCTACTCTGAGACATTTTTGGAATAAACTCTATTCATACATTATTCATCACAATGTTTTAACATGGTATAAGATGTTTTTTGGTTAACGTTTCTCACACTGCACTGTACTAAATCCAGTCAAACTAGACTAATATTAATCTCAGTTTTCCGTTTTGTTATGTATTGTTAATATCCATGACATGCTCAGAAATCACAATAATGATAAAATATTGTCATATTCCCTACCTCTCATAGATTGCAGGTCTTGCAATTTGAAAACTGCACCTTTGAAACGATTATTCTTTTGTTTCAATGATGTCTTGGCTTGTTTCTCTGTCTCCTCCAGGTCTTCTCATCCATTTCACTATTTCAAGCATATTGAGAGGCTGCCATCATGCATTTGAGTGTAACGGGTGTGCTGTGTGTGCTGTGCGTGTGCATACAGGCACTGCAGGCGTGTTTGATGATCAGTGAGGTCAACTCTGACAATCCTAGCTTAGACACAAGGGAGTTCGTAGAGCTCTACTATTTGAATGGAAGCTCCGTCTCCCTGGATGGCTATACACTTGTCTTCTACAACGGCAACGGCAACAAGGCATACTGCGTGTTGGACCTTAGCGGGCACCATACGGACCAGCATGGATTTTTTCTGGTGGGCTCGGCTGAGCTGCAGCCACGCCCCGCCGTCCCCCTTCCACCTAACTCGGTCCAAAACGGCCCCGACGCCATCGCCCTGTACGGCCCATCCTGGACCCCTGTGGTTGAAGGAGGGAACGTCTCCTCAGTTGGGCTACTAGACGCCATTGTGTACACCTCAGGAAAGGGCAAGGCCGACGTGCTGGCATGGGTCCTCACACCTGGTTCCTCTCCGTATTTGGAGGATGACCAAGCCCTAGAGGATGATGAATCAATACAGCGGTGCTGGCTCTCCGATAGTCTTTACACCTTTCAAACTGGCCAACCCACGCCGGGACGTGCCAACGAGTGCCCACCACCAAGTTTCGCTTCACTACGGATTGAAAGGATTCAGTTGGGCGGGGAGAGGCCGTCTGGACCACTGGAACTCAACGTTGTTAAGGAAAGAGGGCCTCTGACAGTGGTCGTGTATGACACACGCACAGACACGGTCAGCACCAGTGTGGGATTGCAGGCCAGTGAAGACGGGATTACCACTGTGAACGTGGACACCACTTCTCTGTCAAGTAACTTCACACACATATCAGACCTTCTCATTTCTACGTTTAGCACCAACGCAAACCCTAATTTGGCTGTCATGATTTACTAAACAGGCACTACAGCACTTTAACAATCAGAATAAGATCAAAAGGTGGCTGCTGTTTTGCACGTTTGGTTCATTGCATATGCATTGCATACCACCCCATCCCGCCCTCACCAAGCAACTCCTACCAACCCCACAAACTAATCATCATGACCCCTAAACCCACTGGTTTTTTTGTCTATAGCAGCAGGTGGCTCAAACAAGTAAAACTAAACTTTGTGCATGCTGCTGTGGACAGATCTACCGTACATTTCTTGCATGCACATTTTTTTCTCAAATTTCTGATTTATTATGCAGAAATAATCTCATTTTCTTGAAATAATATTTAAATAATTACATATTTTCCAACGTGTTTAACTTTTACCTGTGTCAACATCTCAAAAAATAAGTAATTATTGTAACCTTAAAAGTAACGATTTAAACAGTAATCTGTAATCAGGGAAGCATTCAAACTTTATTCAGTCCTTTTAGTAAATCTGCCCTTAAGTCTCCCAGAGATGTATAAATAGGGGTCATCAGTTCCAGTCCTAGAGAGTCGGCATCCAGCACAGACGGTTTCTTTAGTCGACAGGGGACACAATAAATACCATAATATTTAGGGTTTATTAGGTTTCATAATGTTGGAACAGAACAAAGGCTCACTATTGCCACAAATAAGTACTGTCCAATCTATCAATTCAATAATTTTTCTTAAGTGATGTTTTGTATCTTCATTTTTTTACATTTTGCATAAATTGAAGACTCCACTTTTTGAATAGTGGTAAAATTTCATGATGAATAGACCAATAGAAATGGTCCACAATTAGAAAAAAACCTTGTTACATCGACGTCCATGACAAGTTAAGAATTTTTTCTTCTCCTGTAATGTTACCAATTTGGAGATGCACAAAATCATATTGTGATGTGACGTGATTGATCACCACTACTGGTAATTGACTGAAAGGTTGAATCAAGTGTATTTAAGCAGGTAAAGGATAAAACTGTGCTGGACTCCATCCGTCCAGGTCTCGATCTGCTGACCCCTTGAGTAAATCACAAATTTTGTGTTATGTGATGTGATGTGAGACTTCAGTGTACTAGTGCACTTCTGAAATGTTTAGTGTATAAAAGTGTAGGTGGATGTACTGTTAGTTTTCCCACATCCTGCTTGAGTTTTGCTCAAAGACATTAAGCCTGTATTGTTATGCATTGTTGTTATATCATTCATCTTCTGTGCTGGGTGCGTGACTGAATGTTTCTTGGTTTATTGATACTGGCAGTTACTTTTTATACCAATGCAACATGCATTTGCATAAATGAATAAATATCCACTTCTGATCGGGGGTGTACATGAATGAACTGGTGCTCAAAGCCTTTAATCTTTGACTTTTCAGAATTAGATGGCTGGGCACTAGCGGTGTATGAAGGCCAGGTCACAGACTTCACTAAAGACAGCCCTCTGAGTCAGCTGCAGCCACTCGATGCCTTTGTCTACAGTGGGAGAACAAACAATCCCAGTGCCAATCTCACAGAAACACTCATACCTGGACGGAAGCCCTTCAAGCTCAGCAGCGGGTAATCACCACACCTGTTAAACCGATTAGCGTTCCATTAAATTCAGTTATCAGCTAAGACTATCACCAAACAAGTCAGCTTGTTTCTAGGTAGCTTCTGATTTGCAGTAATGAATAGTGCCATGTTGTAGACACTGTTCTTATTGGCTTAGATCTTCAGCCGAAATTTGCCATGAACGGCACAGGTGTAGTCTGAGCACAGGGAAAATCATCATAGTCATTATCTTAGTGCTAGTCGTTATACCGAATAAGTGCATTCATTTTGTGTGACTAGGATTTCTGAAGGTGATGCTTTCATCAGACGATGTGGTGTTGCTCACTGGACAAGAGATCCTGGAATGTTTCAGCTTCTTCTGCAGGGGTCAGGAGAGTCCAGCCCCTGCACATGGTATAACACCTGCCCTTATGACTCAGGTACAGCATCCTTTAAAAGTACTCGTTTCTGTGGTTTCTGGTATTCGTAGTATTCTGAAGACATCATGCAATTGCACTGCCACCATTTTGATGCCGTAGCGGTTTGTCGTGAGATAACAAAGCCATAATCAATCCAGCAAAGGCAGTAACATGACATTTTTTCCAAAACACTCAATTTACAACCAATTTTAAAGTGTGTTAACTGATATATTTGAGTGTTTTATATTTAAGTGATATATTTGATATGTTACAGTAGTGAAATGAAAGCTGAATTCTAAATGCCTGAGATATCCCGCTGTGTTATTATGTTGTGTCCTTTGGCAGCTTTTATAGTCACTTTTGTTACAATTTTGTACAATGCGGGCTATACGAATCCAGCCCACCAAATCAAGCTTATCTTCATTCTGGTCATTCTGGTCTATTTCATCTTTATCCACCTGCAGGGTTGTAGTTGCAGCAACGGCAACGAGACAAGCGCTATCAGATCATAGGCAGAGGTATAGCATGCCTACCAAAATGGCATTGAAAGTGTGTTCTTAATGATTTAATCAAATACAATGAATTGTATGCTGTACTGTTGTCTATAAAAATAGACAAAATTATGTCACATAGCTACAAACACTAGTAGTAGCCATCTTGAAGCCTGAATTTGGTCTGTGCCTTTCATCGATAGCTGTACTTATTGTAGATCATCAAACTACTCAGATTTTGTTTGATGCACATCATGTATTGATGTAGCAGTGCGCAGTGTTAAAGGGGAATTCAAAATGTTGGCATAATTCAGTGGTACAGTTGTAAACAAAGTCATTCAGAGTGGTTTGATGTGAGATGGTGCTTTGTACCCTACTGACTCATATTGAACCTCATTCACCAACCGTTCTTAAGAAGAAATTTCTTCTTAAAACCCACTCACACAATTTTTACAACGATTCACCAACATTTTCTTTTTTGGGATTAGTTCTTAGGTAAGAACAGAATCTACATACACTTAAGAGCAAAAGGTGCGAACAGTTCTGCGGTTTAAGAACACGTTACAAATCTGATGTAGACTTTTTCCTAGGACCTTCCTTAAGAACAGATTTAAAACATAACTTAAGAAGATATTGGTGAATGAGGCCCATTATCTTTACAGTGGTGGTGATAGGTTAAGCATCTCATGCACCTAACTTGTAACTCTTGTAACTTGTAACTGTTAGCACTCAATTAGCTTTTGGTGCTTCATAAGGATGGTGCCTTGTATCACTGACCCTGTCCTTGTTTGCCAAACTAGTGATTTGTAATGTAACCATTTTACTGTTTTAACCCTGCCTTCTTGCAGCCTAATGTGGTCTACACAGTGGTTTTTGATTCTGCGGTTTTTGCCACATTTCCCAGGTTCATTAGAAAGACAATCACAATCTCCTCTTTCTTTAGCCAATGCCAGTAAGGCAGAAGAGCCATTTGAGCCACCTTCACGCAATGATAATGATTTCCTGATCAGCGAGGTGAACACGGACTCACCAGGTTCAGCAGAGGATGAAGAGTTTGTGGAGCTGTGGCACCCGTCTGGCCACCGCATGTCACTCAACAACATTTGGCTACTGCTGTTCAACGGTAACAATGGAAAAGTGTACCTCGAAATTGAACTCTATGGATACTACACGGATACTCACGGGTATTTCTTGGTGAGTCTGTTGCTGTCTTAAGACAATAGTAATTGTGTGATTTATTTCTCTTTTTCTCAGTTAGGTTTTTTACTTTTGTGCAGTTTTAACAAATAAGTCATCATGGTCGGATACTTAATTAAGATAGGGTAGTACCAAGCAAAAACACGAGGAAAAGTAGCCACACTTAAAACCACCATGATTAAACACAATAACCAAAAATGACTTCCGTCCAAAAAAAGAAACTAAACAGCTCAATGAATCCATTCTTGACTTACAAGCTTGTGGTATGAGAGTAATTTAATATTCCACAGCTTACCTGAATGCCCTCATGATGACCCAGAGAAAGCAGTTTTGAATAAAGAAATGAACGCTGCCATTAAAATTCTACTAAAACCTACAGGTTCTGGCTCTCCCCTAAAGTTATCATTCTCTATCATTAATTAAAACATGGCACAAAATTAAAAAATGACACAACTGTGAAACAGCAATTGTAAATTCTTTGTACCAGCAAATCGGGTCAAGTCAAGTTTGTTTATATAGCACTATTACAATAGGCATTGCCACAAAGCAGCTGTATGTCATATTTATTCTGTATAGCATCTAATTTTAGATCACAGTGTTCTTAAAATGCTTAAAAATTGTAGCTTATTATTTTTATCCTACTTCGAGTTCATTTCTTGGCTCATAGGTCTGACATTACTCTTCTTACCTCCCTGTTCAATTTTCACAGATTGGGAGTCATAAGCTCAATCCACAGTTTGCCATACCAGCCAATACCATCCAGAATGGCCCCGATGCCATTGCAATATACCGCTCATCGTCTCCTCCCTCAAGCGAGGGCTCCAACATTCCAACGAAGGGCCTGCTGGACGCCATAGTGTACCGGGCACGTGGTTCTGACAGAGACTCTGCAGACTTAATCCAGGCTCTGACACCAGGACAGCTCCCCCTGCTGGAAGACCCTGCTGCACTCACGGGTGACGAGAGCCTCAGCCGATGCGGACCAGACAGACTTAGCCATAACTCCTTCATGGTAATGTCACTTTGTGTCTGTCTTCAGTGTGATACAGTGAAGTCATTTCCTGAGAGAACTGAACATGGTGTGTGAATAATGAGAAATGAAATGTGCATCATTGTGATAGTGAGGTGTCATTTCCTGAGAGCACCTGGATACAGACAGTGAAAAACATTTAAGGATGAGGTCATTTCCTGAGGGCAAATAAATCATGTGTCTCGTTATGCCTTGTTTCAGATTTCACACATTGTTCTAACAGCAATCATATAGTCCTTATTTACAAAATTGTAGAATGCTTAAGGATAGTGTCCATACAGGAACTTTAATTCGGGTAAACATTCGTCCTTTTGGCTTTGTGATACCAGACCTTTGGTAGTTAATACAGAATCTGGTGAAATTACACAATTCTCGATACCATACATATAATGAAAACAGGAATCCTGTCAGCAGACACTTCTTTACCAAATGTGAACAGTAACAATTGCAGCAACATATTATCATTATCATTATTATTATTATTATTATTATTATTGTTATTAGTGTTAGTATTATTAGTATTATTATTACATTCAAGTAAACAGTATTGTTTTAATAATATAATCTTAAAAGTAAACTACTTGGCTGATAGTAAAGAATGATCTTTGTGGACAGATCATTCTTTCCACAAAAAATAGATATATGGCCAAAATAGATATATTATATGGCCAAAAGTGATATATTATATGGCCATCACACCTGTACCTGAGCTTGTTGGACTTGGCATTGCACGTAGCCTTGTGTGCAGCTGCTCGGCCAAGGAAACCCATTTTATTAGGCACACAGTCCTTGTGCTGATGTTGCTTCCAGAGGCAGTTTGGAGCTCTGCAATGAGTGATGCGACAGGCGATTTTTACATGATACATGCTTCAGCATTTGGCAGCCCTGTTCTATGGTTGATTATTTCATGGCTGAGCTGTTTTTGCTCCTAGATGTTTCTATTTCACAATGATAGTATTTAAGCCCATTTCACACCAGATGTGATCTGGAATCATACTGTGATGCTTATTTCGAACCAGACACGACACACATGCATCACGAGGCAAAAGCAGTTTCTATTTGCATTGCATTTTCACATAATACAAATGTTTGTATAGTCTGTTTATTGTTTAAATAAACTTTATTTAGGTTATATAAAACGACCAACAATAAAAACCTGACTTACTGCTGGGACTGTTGCTGTGTGACAGCTGTGTGAAGAGGGGGAGATGCATATGGGTTCACAACATTAACCGACACAAAGGGATCACCTTATGAAAGAAATAACATTTTGTTGATTTGTTAATTTGTTAATTGTAGCATAAACACTGTATTTCTTTACTGTTTCTGCCTAGAAAACGCTGGGCTTTATACCGCAGATCTAGCAGGGCAGACACTTCGCAGACTGACTTGTGGCAAAGGTGGCGTCCTATGAAAGTGCCATGTTTACAGTTATGAAGCTCTTTAGTGTGACCCATTCTACTGCAAATGTTTGTCTATGGAGACTGCATGGCTATTTACTTGATTTATACACCTGTTAGCAATGGGTGTGGCTGAAACACCTGCATTTAATAATTAGAAATTGTCATTTTGTTTTTGCTCATTCGTTGTGGCCGTTTTCTTCAGACAGGAATGTGGATCTAACATTCACTCAGCAATAAAATGGCTATATTTATGTTGTAGACATTGTGACGATGCTGCCATTTACTGTAGAAAACTAGTAGAGTTTTCAAAAAGTAACTTTTTGTTGATGTTTTTTGTTGTTTGTTTTTTTTTGTTTGTTTTTATTTTCATATTTACCACTATTTTTCCATAATCAGCATTAAGGTTTACTGGTCATTGTGGATAATAAATAAAATGGCAATATATGTTGCCATTATGTAGCATTGTGACTAGTACTAGTACTGTTACGCATGTTTGTTTGTTTGTTTAAGTGTTTTTTTTTAATATTTAACAACAGGTTTACATTTTAAAACAAACAAAATACAAGAACATGCATATTGCTGTTGTCGGAAGACGACTTTGTATTTCCAAAATTATAACTTTACACGAAAAGGATAAAACACACTTTATTTAAGTCAGTGGAACCAGACATTGTTCCAAGTCATTTTGGGCTGTCTATTTTGGTCCATTCTTTATGAAATGTACATACAATGTAAAGGGCAACAGGCACTTTCAAATTATGTCAAAAACTGAAAAATGGACAAAAATGGAGATACAAGGTTTTCTTCTGACAGCAGCAACATAATGGCTAGCTAGCTAGCTATAATTAGGTGGTTGGTATAGTGTAGTGGGTAACACACCTGTCCTTGGGCAAGACTCCTAACTGCCTTCACGTACCTGTGTAAAAATGATCAAATTGTAAGTTGCTCTGGATAAGAGCATCTGCCAAATGCCTTAAATGTAGATAGATATCTAGATAGCTAGTAATATTGACGATATAAACAGAAATGTCTGACCACTGAATCGATCCCTTTAAAGTGACCCAAATGTTCTGGCGAAAGATTTTGAGCTGGTCTGTATCAATGTCTCCAGTTAAACATGTGCAATTTTTGTAGGTTGCTTCACCCACACCAATGAAAAGGAATGACTGCCCCCATCCTCGTGAAGAACTGGTCATTAACGAGGTGGGTGGGGTCTCTGGAGCTGGGCGGAGTCTCTTTGTGGAGCTGCTTGGTCCACCATTAACTCCCTTACATGGATTGGTTTTGGTGCTGTTCGGAAGCAGTGGTGAAAGACATGTGGTCCCGCTGAAGGGGAATTTAAGAGAGAAGGGATTCTATTTACTGAAGAACGATTCTGGAGCCGGTGAGTCTGTTTTTGCTTGTGTGCATTTGCAATAACAATAAGAAGTGTATTTGCATCAACACGTACATCAATATGTTTGCAATCTAAAAATAGAAGACTGCATCACTGGTTAAAATTATCAGACACAATTCCAATATTAGACCCACTGTCATTCAGTTTTCCCATTTATACACTGATGCACTTCTGCATTTCATCTGTGCTGGTTTATTGTTCCTGATTTGTCTGTTCTGCAGATGTGTGAAGCTTTTTAAGTGTTTGCTGTTCTAAGCACATTAAACAACTTTTTTCTCTACTGAAGTGTTATTTTTCTTCTGCCACAAGCGCTTTCTCTAAAATCTCTCTCTCTCTCTCTCTCTCTCTCTCTCTCTCTCTCTCTCTGTCTGTCTGTCTGTCTGTCTGTCTGTCTGTCTGTCTCTCTCTCTCTCTCTCTCTCTCACTCTCTCTCTCTCTCTCTCTCTCTCTCTCTCTCTCTCTCTCTCACACTCTCTCTCTCTCTCTCTCTCTCTCTCTCTGCAGATCAGAGTTTGCCTGCAGTAGCCGGTCTGGGTGCAGTTATGTTGTGTTTTGATTTGCTTGGGGAGGTCAGTGTTTGTGGCAGGAACTCTCAAGTTCAAGACCTGCTGGTGTTCTCTGATGACCAAAGTCTACGTCACATTTTCCACAGTGTTACACAGCAGCATGTACACCCAGTTCCCAGGTGTGTACTTACCAGAGTTTTTATTAGAAAAGGTTCAAGAATGACTTCAGTCATATGTTGTTTTTTTTTTTGTTGTTTTTTTGGTTTTTTTGCGCAAAAAAAGAGGCCATATGACATGATGGGCTAATCACAACATTTACTGTCACAAATTCTCAAAACATCTAAAATATAAATTATTCATATTTATAATGGGCTGGCTTTTAATACTTAATACTTTAATACTTCATTTTCTGTGTGTGTTGCATACGTAAAAAAATCTCAGCACTTTGTGATATACTCCAGCTTTAACTTTATCCAGTTTTAAAACGGAGCAGCGCGGTATGAGCGGTAACCCTGAACCACTCCACAACGACATCACTATTTTTGGTCCACTTTTCTGACAGTGGTTAATGAGCGAACCTCATAAATGATAAAACAACAACACCGTTCCTTGCCAGAAACATACTCAGCGTTTTATATGTTATTGTGGCGGTTAAAATAGTATTCAAGCGGGCGACAGAGGACAAATAACAACAGAACCTACTGTTCATCCCACAGCCTCAGCAGCTAAATGTGGACAGTAGAGGAGAGCGAGCTGATTCTGTTGGAAGGAAAAGATAGTGACATATGCATTTATGTTTTTAAAAGCAAACCATTTTTGCATGAGACTCAACTGCTCGTCTGCTACGGCAGCTGAGAAAGCATGCTGGCAGTATAAGACAGCTTGTTCAGGCTTGCTTGTTGCTTATCGCCCCTTGCTGTATCACTTAGAATGCTGCTCGCGTTATGAATTGCGTTGTGAACTGTAGTTGCATCACTTGAAGCATCTGCATTAACGTCCTTGCATGAAGTATGTTTCTGGCCTAAGCTATGTTCATTACAAAAGCCAGCAGTAGTGATTGATGGCAGTGGTAGATCTAGAAAATTTGGCAAAATGGTGGCAGGGAGTTTTGGCAGGGTGGCATGTTAATGTGGCACCTGTGGTTTGGGGGCTTTTTACATTTAGTTCAGATCTATTTTGTACAGATTTATGGACCAACTTCAAAAAACAGCAAAACAACAGAAACCAGTCTGCTTATCTGCTCTAAACAACTGTGTTTGGGAACTAGGTACTTTGTAACTCTGGTAGTTTTCACTGCACTGAATGTATCATTTAGTCCAATTTCAGAGTATGCCTACTGTAATGAGGCAGAAGTAGTCTACATGTTTAAGCAGAACAGTTTTATAGGCTGGTCAAAAGCTGCATAGAGATTTGCAATTTGCAGACTTTTCTAATCATTCCTTGAGATGAATTCAACTGCGGTGAAAGTCTCAATGCTAACTGCCAATCAAATGCAGCTCTGATGTAGTTCTCACTATTCATTTTATACATTCTTTTAGATAGCTTGTGAGTGCATTTGTCAACTACTTCTAAAACATATTTAACATTATGATGTTGTCATGGGATTTAATCCAGTAAACCAGATGTCCTTGAACTTCTTGACTCGAGGACCCTTTAACAGTGCAGCTTATCAATGGAGAGAGAGGGAAAGAGAAATAACATCAGAACTCATATCAGCTCTGTTATTTCACATGTTTTGATTGGTTGGAGGTCAGATTATTAATTAGATTTAGATTGTAGAACTGACAGCGGCGTTTTCACTCTGAGGGTGAAGAAGAAATCTATTCCTGCAGCAGGAACGCCAACGAAATTACTGAAGTTGACAGCAACAAAGCTTCAGCAAAACAAGCAAATAAACCACAGTGATAACTATGACAGCTTGGCTCTGATTGGACAGCCTGCTTATTAATGCATCCTTGAAACACAAATCTAGGTCCATTAAAACTTTATGCAGGTCTCAGTCAGTCAGCTTCAGACTCTGTCTTTTTTTAATCTGTGAAAATCAGACCTGGTGTGAAAAGGCCATACTCTGCGCTGCTCCCTGTGCATGTTTTGAGCAATCAGAGTGTGAAAGCAGGTCGCATACACAGAGGCGCCTCATGATTTTTCGTGACCAATAGGCTTCCCTTTTTATTTTGTTTTTACAAGTTATTCTTGTCCACCTTTTTTGGAGTATAGACACGTTACACTTTTTGCATCATATTTAAGAGCTGTAGAATTTGGGTGGCAAGCATCATGGAAGGGGTGGAAGCTGCCACCTTGAGTGTGATTGATGGGGAGTGTAAGTTAAACCAAACGGGAGCTTTACACAGCTCAGGATGCAGTAATGTACTGAAGTTAAACTCCTCAGTAACTGAACTGTAGCTCCAACCATGTTAAAGCCTCATCACAGGACAGACACACTTTAATTTAATTTAGTTCACTTAATTGTAAAACGTTTTGGCCGGGGGGGGGTGTTGTCTAATACCTTTATTTACCAGCTAACTGAAACCTGTGTGCTCATTAACTGTGTAACTCATTTCTGCCCTTGTCTTGTGTTTGTAGCTTTGACTCTATCTCTCGATGTGCTACAAAAGGATCTTCTGTCTGGATCTCCTCTGACTCAACACCTCACATCCATAACTACTGCCCAACCTCTGCCTACTCCAACCCCATAGACCTGTGCCTGCAGCCGGAATACACACATTTCAGTATGTTTAAATAATCTCTTATATTCATCAATGCCACCTTGCACTCAAGGTCTTTAGTTTCATCAGAATTAAGCCAGAAGTGTGCACTTTCACAACACTTGTAATAGAAATGATTTACAAATTATTATTTTGCCTCCGTAAGAGTCTTCGTTGAGAGAGGACGTAGGTTCATATGCCTTTCATAGGTTAAATTCATTTATGATTTTGCCGTTTGCTGCACTGCACAGTTTTCAAGAAAACGTGTCTCCACATTGTATTGTCGGGCTGTCGAAACAAAATTTTCCATTCTAATGTTAATCGATTTTAAAGGAAAAATGCAGATTTTAACTAACATTGTTATAAATGACGACTACCAGATGGAGGGAAGAACAAGCCATTGCTGGCAATAAACAAGCAGCTCAGCCATTCTGAATGAGGGGTTATGTTTACTTTATAAACCGATTTACACTAAATGGGCAAAAATATGTTCTCGTGTGAGGCAACCCAGAGATCTGTTACAGATGGTAGTCTTTTCTGACAAGCAAGCGTTCTGAATGTGGACACTTTATAGCACAGTAAGCTAACAGTTATGCCGTTTCCTTCTCTGTGGAGACTAACTGCCACTTCCACCGCTTCTTCCTCCTAAACAAGGTCCCTTCTCACATCCCTCTGCTTTAACTGCTGCACATGCACTTTATTAAACACATTGTAATGTACATAACCACTGCATATATCATGCTGCAATCCTTCTGAATAAGAATTTTTTCCCACTTTCTTCTACTGTAGTCAGTGTGCCTATACACTTTAATTTGTTGCAATATACATATTTTCTAAATATTTACATTATATTAGATTTATATTAAATGCTCAGTTCTCTCAGTTGTACATACTATACCTTATATACTATACCTGATTGTATCTCTAATGCAGGGATGCAGGAACGTGTTTCAAGTTGGGGGCTGCTGAAATTTCAAAACGTGTATATGTGACATTACCAATAACGTCATGCCAAATAATTTACATTTTCCCATTTGCCTATACATCAAGCAGAGCATGTCATACAGTGCTATAATGTGGCGAGAGATGACAGTCTCACAAGACAATGGGTCTTTACTATGCTCAAATTATTATAAAGTTTTTAAAGTGTTTTATATATATATATACATATATATTATATATGATTTATTATATATATATATATATATATATTACACGTAATAAGTAGTATAGTAATTTTATGTTGACACCTGCATCTATAAATTCCTTGTACTCCTGGTACGTGGTCATTTTCAAAGACACTTAAGAAAAAGTCTGTATACTGTGACCCCCCAGGCTGAGAGTCACTGGTTTGAACACTGCTTTTGGAGTTGCTTGATAGTTTGTGCTGTCCCTGGTGGATTGAGGAGGCATAACATTGACTTAAAAATCTGGCCTTTATTTACTGCAGCGATACATCTCCTCACTTATTTCCTTTGCGAAATAATATGTTATTGTATACTTTAAAACTTCAGTACATTGAAATATTGGACAAAACAAAAAAAGGGAAAATTAGAATTTGATTTCTGATCCCATCTTACAGCCCCGATTGCATTGTGGGATTGTTATGTTGTTTCAGGATACATGTGATGATTCCTTAAAATTTGGCCAAATTTTAGATATCTCAAATATAAGATATCTCAAATGACAGTATGGAGAGGTAGCTCACAAGACTTTGACACACACCCTTCTGTAGCTGCATTAAGATAGTGACTTTTTTTATTATTTTCAAAGTGTGCCATATTCACCCAGTATAGCAGGAGCAGGTATGTTTTTAAAAACTGATAATCCTCTGTTATGTTTGTCTGTCATCCTGCTCAGCTGGAAACTTCATACCAACGCTCAATTTCTCAATCTTTTTCTCTCTCAGACTGTAATGTGGATGGATTTGCTGCATTGTTTGAGCAGTCCTGTCACTGTGGGATCTCCAGTCTTCACCTCAAAGGTGACACACATACATATAACCATATGGTCATTTTACATGTTTTACTCATTTGCATATTATTATCATATTGCTGATTTTTTTCTTTGTATATTAGGTGTGAATTTAACATGCTTATCGGAGAAGCTGTATGTGGAGGGTTCTGTGCTTGCACTGTCTGAACAGCAGAGGGAGCATGTGGCCCAAACACTGCGCAGTGAACACTTACCCTCCTGCAGCATCGCCCAGGAGCGCCTTTATAATAAAGGTACAGAACACACGTTCTTTCTCTCTCTTTCTCTCTTTCTCTCTCTCTCTCACACACGCATACACACGCTCCCTTGACATAAAATGAGTCAAATGCATCATTTCCTCTCTAATACTTGATTAAGCAGCGAACTGCCTAAATAGCAATGCCAATAGCATGGCTGCACTGGTTAGCATGATAACAGCTCTGCAGAACTACAGAACATGTTCGGTGCAAACTAAAGCAGTGAAATTGAGCAACTGGTGCTGAAGAGGCAGAAAGGTGAAATTACAGCTGCACTCTGTAAGATTTGGGGATTTGGAGACCCCTCTGATGGAAATGTGTAATTGCACGCAATGTGAGGAAGAACATTTTGTAACATTGGTTGTGCTTCGGACCTCCATAAATGGATGAATCTGATGATTGCGATTGCTTTGAAAGAGAACTCACTCAGAACTTGGTGAAGGACGTGTCTTCTGAGGGTACGAGTGAATGACTAACTAACTTAATGCTAGCTTAGTGAGCAGGACATAGACCCAAACAGTGCCACACACAACAGTATAGGTTTGATTCTAACTAACTGCTGCTCTGCTGGAACGAGTGTAGATGATAAAAACTAATGTATGAGAGAACAAAAGTTGAGTAAGTGATGTTGGAGTGACAGAAAACCTGTTTTGCGGTGTTTGGGACTGTAGCGTTTGGCTAAGCTAACACCATCTTAATTAGCAGGCTAAACATGCTACGTATCACAGTACAGGCTTGGTTCCAGCTAACGGGTGTTAAAATGGCACCTGTTAGAGGAGCACAAAGTCAAATGACTGGTGTTAGAATGAAAGCTGACATTGTGTGGTGTGTGCAGCTCTTTGCTGTTGCTGAGCTGCTATGATTCTAAAGTTTTTCTGAGGTTTTTTCTGACAAAGATTTTTCCCCTCTTTCTATCAGCAGCTTCACCGATCAGTAGCTGTTTACTTGGCCATTGACACAGAATAGAAATTCAACACATCATATTTTTGAAATACAGTCATAATTTTTAAATAACTGCTGACCTTATTACCATTGTACTGCCAAACTCTATTGTGTACCTTTTTAATGTTTTAAGGTACACTGCATTCATTTTTCCCAGGTCCGGTGTGCTTATTTGTATCTTCTAATAACTTTTTTAAGTAGAAAAATAAAAAGCCTGGAGTCAAGACAGGGTATAAGAAGTACAATTTAAAAAAAATACTGCGATAGAATATGGCACATTTATGTTCCCTAACTAGAGGTACTAAAGACATAACCTTGGGGGGGTTCCACCCCAGGCACAGTTTGCCTGACCAGCAAAATCACCAGATCTCCAATTCTCCTTGTCTGTTTTTCTTAACAGTCACACTCACACTCAGTCACTCTTTCTCAAACACACACACATTACATGTGCTGTTGCTCTGCTATGCTGGAAGAACCTTTATTATTATTATTATTATTATTATTATTATTATTAGAACAGATTTTTTTTTTATTTACAGCAGTGTAGATATGAGAACGTGTCTGCTTATTCATCTCATTTATCAAGCGCATGTTTATTTCTTGTGAAGCAGGGTCTTCACTGGGACTGCAGGTGGGGCTTGTGTTGGCCGTGGTGTTGTTGTTTGCAATGGGAGGAGCCATTTTCTTCTACTTGTACAAGAAGAAGTATGTCTAAAAATCTTGTTTCATATCTCTGAATGAGTGTGTCTTTTTTACACACAAGTGTATATAACCTTACTTTATTGTGTTGTGTTTCCACAGACATCCTCAAGACTACTATTCAATGGAGCTGAATGAACAAGAGTCACCCATTGAACTCTAGTGTGTGTGTGTGTGTGCGTGTGTGTGTGTGTGTGTGTGTGTGTGTGTGTGTATGGGTGTGTGTGAGAGAGAGAGAGAGAGAGTGTGTGCGTGTGTGTTTGTGTGTGTATTTGTGTGTGCATTTTAAGGGAAAATCATTTTTTTATATGTATCATCATGAGTAAATCTCATTTAACTTTGTCCAAAAGTTCCAGTGCCATCCAAACATGGCTGTTAAAGGTGCACTAAGTACTAAATGAATTGCTGTAAACCTTAAACTGAATGAATTGAAGATGTAATGTCTCTCTCTGAGACACAGCTCTATAGACAATAAGCAAAAGAGGATGTTACCCAAGTTCCTCTGAATGAGGAGTTACGTACATCACATGAACTTGATGCAGGGTCAGATACTGACCAAGGCTGAAGGTGAAATATCCCCAGAATGTCTCAGAAATGTTAAATATGAGGGGAAAGGGCTCCGCAGTGAATCCCATTTGATATATTTGACACATCTCAGCCAAAATCTGCCCCTTGGTAAGTGTTCATTTCTGACACTGACATGATGAAGTTTACAAAACCGTCCTGTGTCTTTCTTAAGCTTTGAAGGGAAATTCTACTTACTATACCTTTATGTTAACGTACACATAGTTGACTTGGTCGTAAGTCTTCAGTCTTTTTTATTGTAAATATGTCGGTGTTTTATTTCATTTTAAGATGCGAATGCTGGTAGCTTCAGCTATACATTACGCAAGGTGGGGGATTACATTTATTAGCCAAGAGCAAGTCCTTTACCCTTTCGTAAAACCGCACTATAGTTGTTTCACTATAGTTGCATTTCATCTCGGAGAATAATGAGAAGCGTCCGTGATCATTTAATGTTACTATGTTGTATTCTGAAGTCCTGTTGAGTTTCTGTGGGTCAGATGTGCCTCTCTCTTTGTAAATGTGTTGTATGTGTCCCAAGGGTACTGAAAATAGAGAAGCTACTCAGGGTACTCAGGGTTAGCTGTGTGTGTGTTGAGAGCATTTTACCCAAAGGAGAGTGAAGTGAAGGGTTTGGGTGTTTTGTATGTGCTTAGAAACTTTCTTGGTCGCGTTTTATTTTGGTGGTCCCCTGTAGTTCATATACAAATGCTCTAACTGCTCTCCGATAGGCCTGTGTTTAGTGACGGTTAATGGGGTTACCATGGCAACAGCCACCATTGATGGCAGAAACACTTGCCGCCAGTTAAAAACAAAAGCATTGTTGAATGTTTTCATCCAGAGCACAGCAAGACAGAAGTATTCCACCATGCAAACCTAACTCAACGTTAGGTTGGGTTGGGTGATGTGATTTCTTATTATACTTCACATACATTGATTAGCCATAACATTAAAACCACCACCTCCTTATTTCTACTCTCATTGTCTATTTTATCAGCTCCACTTACCATATATGAGCACTTTGTCGTTCCACAATTACAGACTGTAGTCCATCTGTTTCTCTGCATACTTTGTTAGCCCCCTTTTACCCTGTTCTTCAATGGTCAGGACCCCCACAGGACCACCATAAAGCAGGTATTATTTAAGTAGCGGATCATTCTTAGCACTGCAGTAACACTGACGTGGTGGTGGTATGTTAGTGTGTGTTGTGCTGGTACAAGTGGATCAGACACAGCAGTGCTGCTGGAGTTTTTTACTTGGTGTCCACTCACTGTCCACTCTATTACACACACCTACCTTGTTGGTCCACCTTGTAGATGTAAAGTCAGAGACGATAGCTCATCTGCTGCTGCACAGTTTGTGTTGGTCATCTTCTAGTCCTTCATCAGTGATCACAGGATGCTGCTCACAGGACACTGCTGGCTGGGTATTTTGGTTGGTGGACTATCCTCAGTCCAGCAGTGACACTGAGGAGTTTAAGCTCTAGCAGCACTGCTGTGTCTGATCCACTCATACCAGCACAACACACTAACCATGTCAATATTACTGTAGTGCAAAGAATGATCCACCACCCAAATAATAACTGCTCTGTGGTTATTTCCACACAGTTACCCAAATAAGAGGACTCAGTTATCGGCACGGTCTTGCTAACCGTCTATCTGATTATCAGCTGGGTTAGGGTTAGGTTTTATGGTTGAGGTTAGGGTGCAGGTTTCATTTAGAGTTATACAAAGGGAATTAAACAGATGTTTGATTGAGGTTATGCTAAAAACAAAATACACATCTACAAAGCATCTACTGTGGACCATCAAAATGAAGTGTTACCACTTCTTGTGCAGAAGAGCATTTTACCACTTTTTAAAAACAGATCTATCTTTTTATGGTGCACTGCCAAGGAAAGAGTTTCTAATCTGTAATACCAAGTCTCACCACTAGAGGCCAGGACCAACTAAAGATATGAATCACTTGAATATGTGTTGTCTTCTTCTTTGCAAGTTTCTCTGTTTTAGCTTTGTGCAGTGTTCCTGTTGTTGTAGCTATTGTGTCACAGCAGTCAGTCTGCAGTAATGAGTCTGATGATTTCCGCCATTTCATTTGCAACTCCCAACCAGGTAGGATTGCAGATCAGGGTATTCCACAAAGCAGGATTCCTCAGTACAGCTGATTCGTTTAAGGCAAAAGTGAGGACTGTCCAGTGGAAACATGCTTGACCTCTGCTCCCATTGGACAGGCTTGGCATTGGGCTTAAGGTATCTGGCTGAGAAAATGCTCTTTAAACAAGTGTATCATCTAGTCAAGTAAACTGTACCATGCCTAAGTACCTGTGCTGAATGTGGTTACCTTTCTTGCTGGGATACCAAGTGGGCCAAGCTGGAACTCATGGATGGAGCAAGAAATAGTGCAGATCATTGATTGATCAAATGCAAATCACAATAGAATCACTTTGTGACGGCAGTCATCACTTGAGTCGGATGATCATCATTTCTGGAAAAAGGGCTAGCCACTCTGACTCTGTATATAAAACCCAATGCAGTATGAAAGGTAAAACAGATGTTAAGCTAATCAAGTATTGCTGTTGTTTGTGTTTGCTGTCAACACTACTGTTGCATGAAAGAACATTTGACTGTCACACAACCTCCAGAAAATTCCACCTACTTTCATGCTTCAGTTGTTGGGACATTGTCACAGGTACTCCACCAGGGTACATATCGCTGCTGTTGGAACAACTTTGTATCTCCAAAATGGTAACTTTACAGGACAAAACATACTTTACTTTTAATGTAAGTCAATGGAACCAGATTTTTTTTCCAAGTCATTTTGGGTCATTACCTTTGGTCCATTCATCATGAAATTTACACACAATGTAAAGAGCAACAGGCATTTTTAAATGATCCCAAAAACTGAAAAACGATGAAAATGGAGATATGAGGTTTTGTTCCATCAGCAGTGATATTGTTCTGATAACTGCCTTGCTGTGCTGCGTTACTTGGTGGAAAAGTGTCTTAATAGGCCTCTGATGTCCTGCATCATGTTGTAGTCAGCATCATGTCCAAATATGGAACTCCAAGTCTAAGCAGGTTTTCTTTATGGAAAAAATGAATCACCTTTCAAACCCTCTAGCATACCCTCTGGTAAACAAATATGTTCCAAACCACATATGTACTTTCCCCCCTGAATGTCACTGAATCCTTCTTATTATGGGGGTTTTTAATATAAGGACCATCCAACTGAATTAGTCCACACTGCAGACCCACAATAAAAAAACATTAAAAAACAAATAAGTATTCAGGTCTTAGCTATTTAGAAGTATTATATTTTAATCTATTTTAACCAAAGGCATCAGTTGAGATAGAAATAAACAATATAAATTATGATTTTGTATATATGGTTCTGTCTGCTGGGAGGTAGCTGTCCCAAACCCAAACCCCTACATTTAAACTTAATAAATATACTTCTACTTAAAAATAGCTACACTGTGTGAGTTTTGGGGATTTGGTGCCTCTCTGGTGGCAATGTGTAATTGCACCCAACCTGCAAAAGAACATTTTGAAACGTGGGTTGTGCTTTTGGCCCCTTCCACAAGCAGATGAATCTGATGATTGCGAGTGTGTTAAAAGAATATCAAAAGAGAAGTCATAACTTGGTGAAGTATGTGTCTTTGAGGGTGTAAGTGAATGATGTAGCATTACTGAGTTGCTGAAAATTAGCCAAAACTGTCACTACTGAAACATTTAAGTTTTGGTGAGTTGTGATAATTTTGGTAGTAACAGAATGGAACGTTTAATCATTTCTGCTAATAAAATAAACAGAATTAAGGTATAGGGTCAGTCAAACCAAAGGATTTTAGTTTAAGGTCAAAGTCAGTTAAAATGTGTTTTCAGCTCTGACTTTGAACCACTTCAGTAGAATGATCCATAAACCACACTGAATGCTGCACTTTGCATGAAGGTCTACTGTTACTAGGGATGCGGGAAAAAATCGATTCTTAGATGCATCGCGATGCGGACGTGTACGATTCTGAATCGATTCACAAATGTCAAAAATCGATTTTCTAAATATTTAATTTATAACGTAATATTGACGGAACGCAAAAGGCGGAACCTGGAAGTGGGTAAGTGCAGCGCCCGGACAGTCTGTGGCGGCACATAACAAACACACACGGATGAGTGAGAAATCCAACCGGCTCCCTCTGCGTTAAAGCCAGGTTAGGTCAGGAGTCACAACCCAAATGATAAGAAGAGCCATTTTGTCCTTTCAACAAAAATCAAATCACCTTGGGAGCCACAACATTTAATGTCCAGCATGTCTCAGTATGTGATAATGTCCTAGTTTAGGCTGAACAATATAAACGAAAACGCTGACTTACTTTGCTCTGCTTTAAGCTTTAACTAGTTATAGCCGCTTTCCTCCCCTCTCCACCAGAAAACGTTTCCTTAGAAGTAGACCAGTTTCTTGTAAAATGTCTCTCATCGTTCGACTGTTTTATGAGGCTGAAGTCGCTTCTCATTCTCCAGCTTCTTGTTTGAATTTTCCCGTTCCACCCTAAATTCTGCCTTCGGCGCCGAATGTAAATGCGGCACCGTTTAAGGTGGACCGGGAAAATTCGAAAGAGAAGCGACTTCATCTTTGCGACTTTTAGTGTTTGACAGTCTCTCGTTGCGCATTTAACGTACCAGGAAACCAACTGCACTGCTTATAAACGCGAATAAGTCCATTAATCTCCAAATGTTCGTCTTAAATCTGTGCCTTTTCGTTCGCTGCTAGCCAGACAACTTCGTTGCTAAGTTCTCAGTCGTTGAGAAACAGGGCTTTCACGCTATGTTGCACACGTCCCGATATTTTACTGACACAGCGATCCCCCTGTCTCTACAGCGAGACCAAAACCGAAGTTATACATTCACTAAAGAAAACGAGTAGAATAGCTGTAACGTGCTGCATGGACATCCATTACCACAGGATCTTATGTCACCCTAACAGCGCATTTTATCGCAGATGAGTGGCAGCAGCGTCTCATGTGCTCCAAACAGCAGTGAATGAGAGCCTTCTAGTTCACTTGCCACATCACTTCCATTTGATTTATTAATAAAAGATATTGGACGTAAATGCATTATGGATCATTACAAATACTTTGCTTTAAAACTACCAAGTCCTCAGGCAGTAGGAAAATAGAAATCCTGTATAGCAAAAAAAAGATGCATCAAGATGCATCGATAATCGTTTTATAATCGCATCCCTCTGAATCGTAATCGAATCGTGAGGTGCCTAGAGATTCCCACCCCTAACTGTTACATCCTGTTATATAAGACCACCAGCAACTCAAAGAGCAGAATACTACTGTCAAAGCACTTTAACCACATTTGACAAGCTTGCTGGTTTGCACCGGTGTTATGGTGAGGTCTTATTATGTCAGTTCAGTGAGCAGTAGTGTTTGCCTGCCTGTAGCAACATTTATATACTGACTCCTTAACAAACTCGCATTTGTTTTGGAGAAAAATGTAGGTAGGA